CTCGGGCAGGGAGGTCCGGGCAGCCGTGGCCACGCGGCTCCTCCTTTCCATCCCTGTTAGCAGCACTTTTAAAACTGGGTTCCAGAGTTGGATTCCAGCTGGGAAACCAAGCGAGCCCAACACAGGCCTGGCCGGTGCCAGTGCATCTGGAACAGGGAAGCATGCCAGCCCGTCCGGGGTTTCCATTCAGAGTGGACTCCGGCCCTGGTCTCCGTCCTGATCCAGAACTGGGAGAGAACCTGGCCCCAGAGGAGCCGCGGGTCAGATCCTCCCCTTGAGAGGCCGCCTGTGACAGTGCAGGGGGAGGTGTCTCGGGGCCACGATGGGCCACCAGTGACCCCGCACCGGGGCGGCCCGGCCTGAGCTGGCCCGCCCCAGCCCCGGTCAGGGCGCCGCCCTGCCCTCCAGGAGCGGGAAGCTTGGAGCATCCCCAGGGCCGCGCGGGGCCTCCAGCCTGGCCCAGGCCAGGGAGGGACTTGCTATGGCCAGAAGGCCGGGGCGAGGCCAGGCCTGAGAGGAGGCTCCCACCTGCTGAAGGACGAGGTGCTGTGAGCGCGCCCCGTGTCCCCTGCCTGTGAGGAGATGGCGTCTCTGGGGCTTTTTCCCTTTATGTCAAGACAAGGAAAGACCAGAACAATCGTGGGAAAACGCCAGGAAAAAAATTCATTTCAGTTCTTGACATGTGACTCCTTCAGAGAGGAGCTGCTTTCCAGCCAAGGGCTCCCCAGGGAGGGCCACACTGTGGTCCCAGGGTCCCGGGCACCAGCGACCTGTTCCCCATCTGCAGTCCACTCGAGTCGGTGGCCGGGAGAAGGGCCGCTCAGGGCGCCCCTGGGCCAGGCGCTTGGTCCTCCTCCCTCCAGGAGTGCCGGCCTCCAGGGAATTGCTCAGGGTTAGTTTATGTGGCCCCAGGACCGGGGGGGCTGTCTGTGGCTGGTTGATGTGGAGACACAAAGCCCCAAGCCAACCCCCCACCCGATCTGGGACAACCCTGCAGAGCCCTTCTCACTGAGAGCTCCCGGGGGGCTGCAGCCCAGTGTCCCCGCCCCAGCCATCCGCTGCCTCCTTCCGGTTACTGCCCGAGTGTGAGGCCATCACTAATGAATTCCACCTCAGAGTCCAACCTAAGATGAGGGTCTACACCGTCGACCTCATTTGTTTATTTTTAAATTAATTTCCAAAGAGTAGAGTAACATTCTGAAGTGCATCTTAAGCTGTAAGTTACTATTGCTCCAAGAAAAGTGTCATGTTCTCATCGGCATTAGTTAGGCGTTCAACTCTGGAAATGGCCTGAGAGGTAACATAGCCTGAATCCATGACGTTACAGATGTGGAAACTGGGGCCAGGGGACAGCAGGTAAGCTCCTGACATCTGCGCCCCAGCCCAGCCCTGCATCCAAGCCCAGCCCTGCACTCCAGCCCACCCCACACGTCCCAGCCCACCCCATGCATCCCAGCCCAGCCCTGCATCCCAGCCCAGGCCACACATCCCAGCCCCACCCCAGTGCGTCCCAGCCCACCATATGCGTCCCAGCCAGCCCTGCACCCCAGCCCACCCCATGCATCCCAGCCCACCCCATGCGTCCCAGCCCAGCCCTGCGTCCCAGCCCAGGCCACACATCCCAGCCCACCCCATGCATCCCAGCCCACCCCACGCGTCCCAGCCCATCCCTGCACCCCAGCCCACCATATGCGTCCCAGCCCACTCCTGTATGTGGAGGGCAGAGAGCACACCAGTGACTTTCGCAGGGCACGTTGGGACTGCCTTGCAGGACCAGAGGGCACAGCCCGGGGGACGCTGGGCACACAGGGTAGACCCTGGACTGAGACCATGGCAGCCCTTGTGCTCAGCCAGCACCCCAGCCAGCCATGTCCCCGTGGCCTGGGTCTGGGGGGACAGCTCTGCGGAGGTGAGTCTCCGGCCACGCTGTGCATGGGGCGACGGGGAAGATGGCCGTGTGTGTGACATTAGGAGAGCCTGGCCCGGCCCCACTGCTGCGTGGGAATGTTAGAACTCAGCACGGGGTGGGAGGACGTCCTGGCTGACCGCATCCATCCTGGCATCTCAGAGGAGTCGCTCCCCTCTCCCCGGCCACGCTGCAGGGGACAGCGGGCTGCGATTGGCCCGTCTTCTGTCTTCCAAAGCTCGTGGTTGCCGCATTCGCGCCAGGCGACCTGAACCCTGGCTGGCTTTCCAGCGTGGGAGCCCCTCCCACTGTTTGCTCGTTTCCCACGGCAGCTCCGAGGGGGCGGCCCCGGCCTGGCTTGGACAGAAGCCTTGCGGTGCAGCCGGGAGCACGTGCACCCAGCCTCCGCCGCTGACGGGGGCATCTGGGTTTCAGGGCTGGCCTGCAGCAGGTGTCCGGGAAGGCAAGTCTGCTGGGCTGGGGGGCCTCATTCCAGGATGCTGTGAGACTGATGGAGGCTGAAACAGCGACCCGTCCGCAGCATCAGGCAGGCTAGGGAGGGGGCAGCCCCTCCGTGTGCAGGGCGGGGACACGACAACACTCAGCCCAGGTGACGTGAGGAACAGCTAGAGGGGCCGTTAGGGATGAGGGGAGATGCTGGTGCCCGGGGGGCCGGCTGGCTCTCTCCTGCCCTTCGTGGCCTCCCCCCTCTCTGCCACCAGGGCACCACCGCCCAGCGCTCTGGCTGCTCTCGCCCTGGCCGCCTGGCCCCGCTGTGCACGTGAGTGAGTGTGGGTGGGGGCGTGTGAGTGTGCTCTGGCTCCCAGGCCACAGAGCATTCCAGGTGCGCACAGGTGGGCGTGGTCAAGCCTGGTGCCCAGGTGAAGATGTGGGTCCCGCTGCTCCTGCCTGCTGCCCCTGACTGGGAGGGAGGAGGGTGCCGGCCAGGCTCCCGCAGGGCCCGGGGGAGGGAGCGGAGGGGCTGTGAGGGGAGAGCCCGCTCCTGCTAGATCTGCGTCCCGCCCAGCTGCACCCCAGCACCTCCTCGTGGAGACGGGCTGCCTGCGCCTGGAGACGGCTCTCCGGAGGTGTGAGCAGAGTGAGGCCTGCAGCCTGGGACCAGGGCCCAAGGCCTGGCTCTGTGGGAAGCCCCTCCTGGGAGCCAGGTGGCATCGCAGGTGTTTGCCCGCAGGGACTCTGCTAAAAGGAGCCATTGAGAGGCGAGGCTAATTGGCGTCTCCCACCCACCTGTGGGAGTTTCCAGGCGCTGGGCGCGCGGGAGGTGCCGGTGCTCCTTTTCCTGGTCTGAGTGTGAGGCTGGCTTGGCCCGGCCCGTGGAATTCGGGAAGCAGCCCTGCAGGGGTGGCCCGTTGTTTCTCAACACTTTCTGGGAACCTCTGGATCGGCACATTCCTGCCCCTCCTGCCAATCGCGTGGGAGCCCAGGGGAGACGTCAGGGGCCTCGAGTTCGTGGCTCTTCGACCCGCCTGCAGGTGCTTTGGAAGACCTTCCCAGCCGTTCCCCCTGAGTCCAGGTGGGCCTGCAGGGCGCCTCGCATGGGCGAGGTCCTCCTTTACCCAGACACGTGTCCGAGGCAGGCCGCGGGGTGAGTGCGCAGGGGCGCAGGTGGGGCACGTCCGCCACATGGAGCCATCTGCACGGCCACCTCAGATAAACCCGAGGTGGGGGGGAACTGCGGGGGTTGGATATTAGACCTGCGGTCACCCCAGCGGCAGGGCTCCCCGGGGACCTGGGGCCTCTCCTGACACCAGTCGCAGGGCCATTGGCCCCAGCACCTCCCTTTTCCCTGCAGGGCTGCATGGACCACTGCAGTGTCCCGGACCAGGTTACCTGCCCGGGCCCTGGGTGAGCTCTCTCAGTGAGATCCCTGCCCTGGCCTGCCCTCGGTAGGGGTGGGTCCTGACATCTGTGTTTCCGTATCTCAGACACAACCTGTCACTGACCACGACTGCGAGCAGGCAGGGCGGGCAGGGGAGGCTCGGGCGGCGTCCGGAGGGCACGGGGGCCAAGAGAGGCGGACCCAGCCCCTCTCTGCTCACCTGTGAAGGCAGGTGTGCGGGGCTGGCCCCCCACAGGCCCTGGTATTGTTGCTAAGCACACAGGGAAATGCAGGTGTGTGGAGGGAAGCCGTGAGTTGAGGGTCTGGACAAACAGGTGCGAGCTGTGGGGCAGCCTGAGTCACTGCGGTCAAATCGAGAGCCTGCCCAGAAGCTCCGTCCCCTCCGCCCCCCGAGCTGGGGCCTTGTCACAGAAGACACTGTCCGGCTTCATCTGGAAAGGCGGGTGCTGGGGGGAAACTGGTTCCTCGGCCGCATCCCTGTGAACCCCATCTCACCGGCCACACATAACGAGGCTGTTCCGTGTCCTGTTTTTGAAAAGCTTCCTCGTCTGCGTGGACCTCTCTGCTCTGGGTCGAGGAATCACATGGCTTCCAACCAGCCGTTTAACAGGTGGTCGTGCCTGGATGGTGGCCTCCCCCCGACAGCATTTATGTCTCTCCCGACTCAGAACCCAGAGGAAGCCTGCAGAGTGTCCAGGGAAACCGGCTCAGGCAGCAGACGGGCCAGTGTCTGTGTGCAGCTTGGCCTCGGCCCAGAGGGAAGCTCCGGTGCCCAGGTGACCTGCTGAAGTCGAGGTGGCCAATTGGAGGACAAGTCCGAGAAACGAACTGCTCGCTTGAGACTTTTCAGCATCTTAGAACTTTCTGAAATGTTCATCTTCTCAAATCCAGCCTTAGTTTTTCAAAATTGTGAGTCCTCAACATTCGTAACCTCCCAGGATGCGCTCTGACGCTGTGGGAAAGAGCAGAGCCCCCCAGTCAGGAGGCCCGTCCCCAGTGCCTGCCGTCGGCTCTGCGGTGGGGGCGGGCGTGGGGCTTCAGACGCTGGGACCCGTGGTGACTGGGGAGGTGGGGGTTAGCCCCCCCGGGCCCTCCAGCCAGACCCTACCGCCCCGGCCCCTCCCACCCAGGCCCTGGGCATGCTCTGGTTGCCCCTGCCTCTCCATCAGAAGAGCGGCCATGCACACCCAGCCTGCCCGCCGCAGGGGCCAGGGTCCACGTGGGATGGCGCCGGTGGCACTTTGACAAAGAGCACAACATCACGGCAGAACTCCCGCTAGTCTGAGCCTCGGCTTGGCTGTGCCGGCTCTCCAACAGCTGGTGACATTGGACAGTTTCCCTGGCCTCTCTGTGCCACGGTTTCTTTATCAGTGAGATGGGAATAACAATACTTCCCATGAGATACTATCCAGAGTGCCGGGCGTGACACCTGCGCTTCATCGGTGCTCAGCATGTTAGATGTGGCCACTTTGATCATTTCTCCATCCTTGTCTCCCCATCGGTCTGTTCCCCGTCTGGTTCTGCCCGCGGCCACTCCCTGCTGACTGTGGGTGAAGACCCCCGCGGGCCGCTCCACTGCTGTCCCCGGCCTTCCTCACCAGGAGCAAGTGCTGTGCAGTCAGAGAGACCCCTCTGAGAGCCCCCAGCCCCTGGGGGCCCACAAACGGGGGCGGGGGCCAGCTCTTCTCTGAGGGGCTGCCCCGGGGCCGAGGGACAAGGACCTGCCATCCCTGGAGTCCGGCCCAGCCCCTCCAGCTTGTCCTGGTTCAGCTCCCTCGAGGGCGCCCTGTCCAGGCTGCCCCACCGTCTTCTCCCCACACACGTGGCACATGGTGGCCACAAGCCCGTCCATGTCCAGGGCTCTGTCCGGGCCCTAGGCCGTGACAAGACCACTTGTGTCCCCTCCGCCCCTCTGCACCTCCCTGCCCCCTTCGTTCACGGCCTTTGCCCGGTGCCAGGCCTCCTGTGCGGCCGTGAGCAGGTGTCTGCTCCTGCAGCCTGGTGAGCTGTGGACCCCTGATTCCTTCCAGGTTAATCGCCACCTTCCCTGGAACTCCAGGGGTGCTCCCACGGGCCACGCATCTGTGTGGTGGTCGGTGCCCTCTGCCCACGGGAGGCTCCGGGCTGCAGTCCTGGCCTCCGGGTCCCTTCGGGTCTCTTGGAAACCAGCTCTGCCAGCCAACCCTGCAACCACCCTCCCTACGGGCGGCCCCACTGTGACACAGGCCCGTCCTTCCCTCTTCCCTGGGACACCAGCCACACTTCACCAAAGCTGCTGGGGGAGCGGGGACTCGGACACAGGCCAGTAGAAGGAACGCCCTCACTCCGCCCTCTCCGCGGGGGCTCTCGTGGCCCCAGGCCTGAGCCCGCCCCTCTCCAGTGACGGTGCCTGCCCAGGCCCTCTCTTCCTGTCCTGGATCAGGCCTTTTCCAAGACTGGAACTTGGAAAAGATGACCCTCTCCTCCCAGGTTCCGACTTTGCCCTCAGGCCCCTCCCGGACAAGCCCAGGGTGAGCAGCGGAGCAGCAGGGCCTGCCTCGTGGCCTGGGAGCCATGGGCTCTGGCCGGGAAGACCCCCCACCGGGCCGTCCCAGCCCGTCCCAGCGGGGTCACT